CCTTTAAACTTGGTGCCATGGGCTGGTTAGCAAGAGAGAGGGAATGGGAGGATGTATACCTATGTTAACCATGCCACCTAAGATTGGAACAGAATTAAAAGCAGTTCTGTCTTCCTTTGATGACTAAGGGTAGGACTACAGGAGCTTCCCCAAACCTAAGACAGGGAAAGTACCGTAAAAGTGACTTTCGGCTTTCTAAAAATTAATAAAAATAAATAGGATAACCTGTGGGAGACTTACAGCTCCCTGAATCAGTTTCTCCCACCCTTTTGTGCTTGGCTACTCATTCTCTTCTGATCTGTCAAATACTAATTGCAAGAAGTTATTGCTCCATTGTTTCCGTGTTCTGAACACTGTGACTTTTCTTCATGTTGCAGTTAGGGACATTATACCTGACCATTAGACCATAGTTTGATTTTCTAATAAGTTGCCTAGTTACCCCATACACAAGGAGAATTTCCTCTTTTCTCTTACCCTATATTTACCTGGATTATTCCCTTGAATAAACAAGATTTGATGAGAATACTCTCTTGTCTCCATCTCCTGTGTCTCTTGTCCCATCTCATTTTCACTCCCCCTCTAGAGCCTCTGTTGACTAAAAGTTGAGCCAGGGTAACGACGTGTTTCTGGAACAAGGAGGAATAAGTGAAGAAGCTGTTCAGAGAGGCACACATAAAATGAATTATAATTAAGAGGAAGAGAAACACAGGAACCTGCTGTGTCTTCTAAACCTCAGTAGTAGAACAGAGATCATGGGACAAGCAATTACTTAGCATGAAATGAGACATGCATTCATTGCACGAGTGGTAAGTATTAATATTAATAGTTAACTTTTTGAGAATATTAAAAATGTTTTCTAGATGAGATAAAAGGATAGAGAGTCAGAGAGGCTCTTAAAGATTACTAATAAGCATTTGGACCAAGAAATATCCATATAACTGACTGTTTTACTAGAATTCATAAATTTTGTTTTAGAGGTATTATTTTGTAGTTGACAATATTTTTGAGATAGAAGAGAAAGTATTATTAAAAGATAAGTTGGACTAAATAGATTAAAAGGAGCCTAAATATTTGCAATGGCAAATATGGGTTTTTAAATTTGAGAAGGGTTAAATTAATCCAGTCAGCAACAATCCTCTGCTAAGGGAACTTATTTTTCCTATGTTAACAGGTAAGTGGAGCTTATGATAACCCAAATCAGCAGACTCATACCCCAGATGAAATACAAGAATAACTGAGAGAAATAGGCATGGAAACATGGGAGTATCTTCGCTCCATGGGAGAGAACTATGGTTCTTGGATTAAAGTTATCCAGAAATCTAATGAGCCTTATATTGAATTCCTAGCTCAACTAAAACAAACAATAGAAAGAACCGTAATTGGAGAAGAAGCAAGGAAATAACTTCTTAAAAGACTAAGTATATAAAAATGTCAATGAGTGTTATAATGAGCTATGTTCTCAGTTTAGGAAACAGGAAATATTAATAGTTATGAGAAAGTAAGAAACAATATTCCATCTGAAAGTAGAAATCTGCAATTGGCTCCTGAAACTATAGCCACCATTTTTATAATTTGCAAAAAGAACATAAAAATTTAAAAGATTTAAAACGCTTTGGATACGGACAAATCAGTTTTTTACCAAAGAAGCTCAGGCAAAAGTAAAATTAGTTAAACAGAATATTCAAAATGCCTTTTGGAATAGGTTATAACCTCTGATCACATGAAAAATGTCTGGTGATCTGACATTTGAAAATTTGGAAATGCTCTTAGCAATTTTTGGTTGCTTTTTCTTTTGTTCAAGAGGAACATGGACATTTACATACTAATGCTAATCATCTACATGTTCAATATAAAATTCTATTTGATAAACTAATCATACTTGCAAATCCATTACATTTTAAAACAACAAATTGAAATTCATAAAGGAAGACTTTGTTAAGGAATTAATGTGAGCTATTTAGAAGAATTAGGGCAACTTTACATTAACACATACTAATTTTCTTAAATCTATACCAAAGGAATAATCTAATTGGAGTAGAAAAATATTTGTCTCTTACTCCAAATGTTGAAAAAGCAGAAAAACTGCCATAGATACTGAACGGCAGCCAGCATTGCTAATGGAGAATGGGATAGGGGTGGGTATTATCTCTCTTCAGGATGAGTGACAGTTATGGATCCTGAAGAAGACATTCCAATATTGGCCTTGGTAAAATCATATTCATGGAAGTGACCTCAACCACATAGGTCTTTACCACGATCACCAAATAGGGATCAGGTGAAATCTCTTGTTCCCTATGGTCAGATTATTGTCTGTCAGTCCAAAAGACCAGTTATAGCTTAATATTTTTTCTGGCCATATGTGCTTTGTTAACTGTCTTTTCTTATCAGGGATCCGCTGTAAGTTATTGTGCTTAAGTCTCTTGTACACCTATGTTTCAGCCTGTCTTTTAGGGAGATACGGATGTTTTAGTGTATATCACTGTAAGTATCCTCTCTCCTCCTTGTAATGACTTGACTTCTCTGAATAATTTTGATGAGCCCTCTTATAATTTTACTTATATGGATGATAGAAAGCCAATGAGCTTTGAAAGTTGTCCTTGTTTATCAGTGGAATTACATCATTTGTTACAACCTGGTGTTAATATAGGTAGATCTCTTTCTCATCTTCAAAGATTTTCAGCATGGTCCATTAATCAGACCTTGGAGAATATTATTGAAAGTAATGAATTATCATATCATGTATGTCCAGATTTTATGTATTATGGAGTAAAATATCAGCCATTTATTTGGAAGATCTTTTAGGGCAAATTTTGAAAAGTCACTCAAAATAAGTGGATCAATTAGGACCCATTTTTCAGTTTATTAACACTTGTTCTGGATGGAATATTACCACTTGTGATTTGCTTATTTGAAGTAGTAATATTATTGCTTGTGTGCATAACTCAAATAGCCTTAATTGCTAGGAATGTATAACTACAATGGTGAAGAATTTCATAAATATTATATTTTTTATTCTTCAATAGTCTAGTGAAATAAAGATATGTTCATATATCTGAGCATAATTTGACCCTCATCAGTGATGATCTTTGGCACTAGTAGGAAAATAACATATGCAGTAGAGACGATCTTTCTAAAGGAAATAGGAGGCTGTGTGTTCTATGATTTGATGTTTCATGTTTTTAAAACTACTTGAAAGTTTCATACATTTATATCTAAAAGATGGCAGAAACACTGTGCCATTTAAGAACCAATAAGGAGAGAGATCTCAAACCAAGGACCAGAAATCAAAGGACTGCATTGAACATGGTGATCTCATCCAGAGCTGATGAGTCACCTGTGCCTCCCTCCTCCTTGTGTGTTGTGAAAAGAAGTAGAGCAAATGACAGGGGAACACAGAATAAAATGTACTTTATGCTGCAGTTTGCCTCCAGTTAACATCCTACAAAATGTGACAGGTTGTGCGAGCCAGAAGCTGCTTTTGCCACAAATCTACTTATATACATGGAAGCCTTCATTCCTGTCTGGAGATTTTTGATTTTGAATCTGGGCTCCAATGTATCTGTCTTCTGATTTGTTGTGATAAATTTTTGTCTGTCTGTTTATATGTGTAGTTTTTGTGCAGTCAAATTATAATTTCATATTACATATAAAATGATAGAATGAATTATACACAAATATACAACAAGAACCAAATTTTGAAGACAATATATCTTTAAAGCATATATGCTGGTTGAGATTAGCAACACATACTATGAAATATCACTCTGAACTTAACTCATTTACAGTTTGGTGTGGGAGTTCCTTATGTTTGTGTGTTTCTTTCATTGTAATGAATAATGAAACTCTGATGGTCTTGATGAGATAGGACACAACTTAGGTAGGCAGGGAGCAGATAGAACTAATGGTCAGAGAGTCCAGATCTACATTTGTTTCTTGAAGGGTATAAGCTAGGATGATTTGACTTAAGGTGTTTTTATAGGACATTGTGAGAAAAAAATGGTATTTTGACTCAGGGTGTGGTTGCTCCCTGTTCGGTGATTTTGAGAGAATATTACTTTGTTTGTTCTTTGTATCATGGCAAGGAACTCTTGCCTCCTAACCCATCTTTGGACTGAGATATATATGAACTTTGAATAATCAACTTGAGACATATAACATTATTCATTGCGTATCCTTCAATATCTATATAATTATTCTTGTAAATTTTTATCTTAATCCTTATGCCTTCCACAAGTATGGAAATGGGTAGTTCAGGACACTAAGTGATGGATCCTCAGATTTGAAAATGGACTATGGACGTATTACATGATCAATACCAAGAGTAGAGGTGTTAAGTAAAGAGTGCTTTGTAAAAAAAAGTAAAAGTGAGCATGAGTTGAACAACAAGGGATAATAATTGTAAGTAAATTTGTATTATGACAGAAAATCAGTAGTTTAGTGACTATGGAATTGTCTTGGAGATAATTTACAGGCTAGAGGAGCTTAGGTGGATCAGTTTCAAAAACAGAATTTTTTAGAATTTGTAAAGAAACTCAGCCTTTGATTTCCCAAGCAAGGTACCTTGGACACAGAAAAATTGAGGTAAAATACCAAGACCATTATAACCTGGAATTACCACAAAGTATTCTTTTCATTTGTGGGGGCTCATAAGGGAGAGTTTGTATTTGCACATAATAGGTAAAGCGTAGTTCTGCCTGCAATGGTTACACCTGAGACAGGACACTCCTATCCAACATAGAGATGTTATGTGAGGAAACATTTATAGTACTGTGTGATTATGATCAGCCTGTGCCTAGAGAGAGCTATAGGTAGACACTGCTAAGAACAAGAATAGGGAGTTTTCAAGTCCTTTGATTCTGATGAGCAATGCTGAATAGTAGAAAATTGTGGAATAATTAAGCAGGATCTATGAAGCTTGAGGAATTTAGTAATACTACCTTCACAGAAGTTGGAAACTCTGTAAATCTCCTCTTATCACAAAAGCACTCCTCCTCTTACACAAGGACTGGCTATGATCAAGCAAAGATGCAGAGACCTGGAGTAGTGCAACACCCAGATGTGTTGTGTATCTCTCACGCAAGCTAGTTTCAGAGAAGGCACCTTCTGAGGAGAGAAAGGACAAATGTTATTAGCAATAGAGCAAAGATATGTGCAGGACAAATAATAAATTAGTTGCCCTGAGCCCATTCAAACAACTCAAAGAATTAAAAGCAACTCGAGCTCAGTATAGCTCAAATGTTCCTTTGATGCAAATGTTGCTGGAGTACAGAATTTTAAAAGCCTTACACTATGAGAAATGGAAACAATTGGGCAAAGCTTGCCTGTCAAATAGAGACTATCGGTTGTTGAAAACCAAACATGAAGAAAGATGTTGGGTCACAGATCTGAGAAACCTGACCCAACAAATTCCTTTTTCTTTTCATATGCTTACTGGTGAGTGACTTCATAAAAAATAGAAATCAGCAATTAAATTTTGCTGAGGATAGGGAACCTGAAATGGCCCTATCCTATAGCAATACTGGCGAATATCTTGCATATCATCATAGAACCTTCATCTGGTGGTGGATGGAGATAGAAACAGAGACCCACACTGGAGCACTGGACTGAGCTCCCAAGGTCCAAATGAGGAACAGAAGGAGGGAGAAGATGAGCAAATAAGTCAGGACCATGAGGGGTGCACCCACCCAATGAGACAGTGGGGCTGATCTATTGGGAGATCACCAAGGCCAGCTGGACTATGACTGAAAAAGCATGGGATAAAAACAGACTCTCTGAACATGGCGAACAATGAGGGCTGATGAGAACCCAAGGACAATGGCACAAGGTTTTGATCCTAAATCATGTTTTGGCTTTGTGGGAGCCTAGCCAGTTTGGATGTTCACCTTCCTAGACATGGACGGAGGAGGGAGGACCTTGGACTTTCTACAGGGCAGGGAACCCTGACTGCTCTTTGGACTGGAGATGGAGAGTGAGAGGTGTGCGGGGAGGGGGAGACGGGTGTGAGGAGGGGGAGGGAAATTGTAGGATGGGAGGAGACTTAAACTTTTATTCCTTTTCTAAATTAAAAAAAAATAAAAAAGTAAAAAATAAAAAAAACATTGCAATAGCAGTATATGCCCAAGTTACTTCAATGACAAGAACGCCTGGAATTAACTTCTGTCTTCTGGAGAGCAGACTGAAGTCTAATGTAAATTAATTCAGGGACCTGAAGAATTGTTTCAGGATGCTGCAGTAACCAAACAGATTAATTGGAAACACAGAAACTGAGTGCTTGAGAAATAAAGCTAGCCTACGATTATGCTATGTTATTTTGTAAGTCTGCTTTGAGACCATTTAGAAATAAGAGTATTATTTCTGATTTTATTTGAATATCCTCAGATATTGGACACTCGTATAGCCAGTGACTAGCTATGACTTCTGTTTTACAGAAAAAAAAGAAACAGTAAAATAGGTTCCTCCTGACAAAGATATCTTGAAATTGGTAATTGATATTAGAATTAAGAATTGTTAATGAGAGTTAATTGGAGCTATACATCTTGCATTGCCTTCTATTTCTTCCAGAACAAAAGATACCTATAATGTTGTTCTCTTTTTAAAAGATTTTTTAGACCATCCTATCGGCTCACTGAAATTCTCAAAGATATGCATTTAGTGTTTCATCAGTTTTTTTTTTTTAAAAAATTAGAAGATACCATTAGACTATCTTGCCTCAGGGTATGACAAATTGTTTTCTATTATGCCAGAAATATGTGGAGCAGGCTCCACAAAATCTTACAATTCAATTTCCACAAGTTTATATAGTCCTTTAAGGATGGTGACTTTCTTGTTCATTTAAAAGAAGTAAGTTTGTTTCTAATATATTGTCAGCTTCAGCAGAATCATGTCTTTTAGAGTTAGTAATTTCCCCAGTGAAATTACAAAGACTTACATCTTTTGAATATTTTGGAATATATGCTTATCCAAAAGAAATTAATCCTCAGAAATTAGAAATTAAAAGAGAAAGATGAGAAACTTTGAATGACTTTCAGAAATTACAGAGGGATATAGCAACAGCCACGGTGCTTTCTAGAGACGCACCTAGTTCCTCTGCTTATTTGTGACTGTTGTGATGCTTGATCTATTTGAGGGACACTTAGCAGTGAGAGAATGATGTGTCTCTTTGGCTTTGACTGATACTTTGAAAACTGTTCCTCATGCAGAATTGCATTTTTCTGCATAAATATAGGAAGAGATGCCTGGTGTTATGGCACGGTTTTAGGCCAAGCTTTGCTGGTGTCCATGAGAATCCTGCCCCATATTGTGAGAATACAGTGGAGGAACATAGTAAGATGTTGTCCAAATGTAGGGGTGAAATAGGAGGCAGAGTAGAGGCTGCAGTAATGTTGGAAAATAGCAAAAGAAAATAATTAAATTAAAATCAAATAACTGATTGTCATACAGGGATGGCAGATGGACATTTGATTCAGGGGCTCCTATGTTTTACGAAAACATATATTTTTCTTGCATCATAATTTGAATCTAAAGATATTCTTTTAGTTTATCGGTTTTTCAAGACATGGTTACTCTGTTACTTTGCAGCCTGTCCTGGAACTAGCTCTGTAGACAAAGCAGGACTTAAACTCACAGAGATCCACTTGCCTCTGACTCTCGAGTCCCAAGTGCTGAGAATAAAGTTGTGCACAATCACCGCATGGTGGATATGTTAATTTTGAAAAGATGCCCTGCTTTTGTTCCACAGAAGATGAGAACCTGTGGATTGTTACCAGGCTAATGTTATTTGATGGAGCAAGTCCTCCCAGAAGATCTCTAGAAACCCTATAAAAAGTTTCCCAACAAGTATTTGTGCCTCTGAAAATGGTCTGTCAGTGACTCTAGGTCTTAGGAAATGTTATTTGCTCCAATGTTGAAAATGAGACTTTGTGTGTTTGCCTACATAGCCATTTGCCTCTGTCATTTCTTGCACATTTGAAAGTTGCTTCGTTGTACTTCATGTTTACTAAAATAATATTATTTTCCTCTCAGGTTTTCCATAGGGTTGAATAATTGGTAGTCATAGTTACATTCCTCTCATAACTTGGACAATCCATTTCTAATATAAGACTTAGTTCCATAGGATAGGGTATTATTGAAACAGATAGGATACAATTTTTTTTTCTGGATATTGTTTATGATGGGTAAAACTCTATTTTTTATTGGTTTTTCAAGAAAGAGTTTCTCTGGTAACTCTAATTTTTATACTGATATCTATGATATCTGTTCTTTTTTAATTTTTTTTTTTTAATTGAGAAAGGGAAAAATAAAAGAAAAAAGTTTCCCCTTTCCCCCACTCCTCTCCCCCTCCCTCTCCAGTCCAAAGATCAGTCAGGGTTCCCTGCCCTGTGGAAAATCCAAGGTCCTCCCCCTTCCGTCCATATCTAGGAAGGTGAACATCCAAACTGGCTAGGCTCCCACAAAGCCAGAACATATAGTATGATCAAAACCCCGTGCCATCATCCTTGGCTTCTCATCAGCCCTCATTGTTCGCCATGCTCAGAGAGTCCAGTTTTATCCCGTGCTTTTTCAGTCACAGTCCTGCTGGCTTTGGTGAGCTCCCAGTAGAACAGCCCCACTGTCTAAGTGGGTGGGTGCACCCCTCGTGGTCTTGACTTCCTTGCTCATCTTCTCCTTCCTTCTGATCCTCATTTGGACCTTGGGAGCTCAGTTCAGTGCTCCAGTGTGGGTCTCTGTCTCTATCTCCATCCATCACCAGATGAAGGTTCTATGGTGATATGCAAGATATTCGTCAGTATTGCTATAGGATAGGGTCATTTCAGGTTCCCTATCCTCAGCTGCCCAAGGAACTAACTGGGGACATCGCCTTGGCCTCCTGGGAGCCACTCTACTAAAACTGAGAAGCTTCTGTAAAGCAAAGGACACTGTCACTAAGACAAAAAGGCAACCTACTGACTGGGAGAAGATCTTCACCAACCCCTCAATAGATAAGGTCTGATCTCCAAAATATGTAGAGAACTCAAGAAAGTAGACGTTAAAATGCTAATTAACCCAATTAAAAAAAGGGGGCACTGAACTTAACAGAGAATTCTCAACAGAAGAAGTTCTATTGGCCAAAAGACACTTAAGGTCATTCTCAACCTCCTTAGCAATCAGGGAAATGCAAATCAAAACAACTTTGAGATATCATCATACACCTGTCAGAATGGCTAAAATCAAAAACACCAATGATAGCATTTGCTGGAGAGGTTGTGGAGGAAGTGGTACCCTAATCCATTGCTGGAGGGAATGCAATCTTGTGCAACCACTTTGATATCTGTTCTTATTGTTTAAAGTTTTACATTGGGTTTAAAACTCTCTTATTTCAAGAAAAGAGAGAAGTACTCTGGAACTTCTTAAGACAATGGTTTTGGATGCTGGGCCACTTAGGCATATTCCCTGCATACTATAACAATAGATCAAGAAACATGGTCTTTCTCCCTCTTATCAGCCTGATTTTGTTCCCCGTTCCTTGCTCATGCAGAGGACTTTAATATGGGGTGCTACCCCTAAATAAAGAATCCTTAATTTTACTTTCCCCAAAATGATGTGGGACTACTTTATCATGATGCTCTAAAAATAATGTGTTTTTTTTTACTGTAGTACACATTTAATCCAATGAGAACTTTGCTTCTTTGCAAAACTTAATTGATATGAAGCATGGAATACCCACAAGTAATGATTATAAGATCCACAAATAATGATTATGACATGGTGATTAATGTTCACAAATTCATCATTAGTACCTATTGAATAATAGGGTCTAGTTCAAGGAGGGGAATATTTGAGGTTATTTCTAGGTTTGTTTTTTTTTTTTTAGTTATACTATTATATATGGATATCAAACAGTTTCCCGATCAAAGCAAATGTTCATTTCATCCTGGAATGCAATCGTAATATCATGGCACTCTTTATAGATTTAGAAGTTTGTAAGTCCTCTGTGATCATGAATTATTTGGAATATAAGACCTGTAATAAATAGCCTTCATTATTCACAATGTTGGAGCCTCAAAAATTATGTTTTCATAATTTAGGTACTATATAATATGTACAGGCAAAATCTTTTTGGAAACTTTCCTAATCACCTTGGTGAATTCCATTGTGTCATATACTACTATGAAATTCTCAACGATACTTTGTTTACTTTGTGAATAAATTTTCCACAATTCTTAAAACACACCTGAGTGCCTCTTAATTAATAACATTTGTGAGGCTTGGAATAATTCTGTCAGCCCTGACAATGGGAGAAGGGTCTGTCCTTGCTGTTGGGCTGTTGCTCTGCTCTGTAAACTATTCCCTATGCTGGATAGCCTTACTCTGCTTAAATACTAGTGGAATCATTAACCATATCAATACATATAATGGTCATTTGCATGCCATAAAAGTAAAAAACACAAATAAGGAACTAGATCCTTAAAAATATAAAACACAAAAATAAAATAAAATAGAAAGCAATTATGTTTTGTAAATTAAAATTAAATTAATTTTTTATGAACCAATAATAATAGTAATGATTAGCTCTGTGAAGAAATACTGAAGAAAATTTATAAATATTTTCAAATTAATCCCTCTCACACTTTGCTTTAGTCTGCTTTATGTGTTGGTGACAGTGGGCATGTTTTGAATTCCTTCAGTCAGGAATAGCCTGCATTTTTACCTGTCAGAAATTCTACATATCACTCTAAACTGAACAGTGGCATAATTCTGAGAAGTAGTGAGATTCACCAGTGTTCTGATTTCATTGTAACGAAACTGATGTTTATTAGCTTTACTAGGTGAAAGTTTCTCCTTTTTTTTCTCTCTCTCTCAAAATCAGCCTTCAACTAAGGTGGAAAACATTTAACTATAATTGCTGCTTTCTATAGAGTTCCATTTGAAACTCATAATATCTCTTTGTAACCTAGTTAAGGTTTCATTAGTTAAAGATGGCTGGAGGTATTTTTGTGCTTTGAAAAGCATTTTCAGTCCGAATTTATCCACACATCTTTGCATATGGATGCATATTCCACAATCTACAGGTAATTCACTAATTTCAAAATCTTCACCTCCTGCATTGCAATTTGCAAAATGCTCTCTTTCTTATATATCTGCCCTCTGTTAGAACTTGACTCCCCTTTAAAGAAGCCAGCATCCTGGAATCAAGCATCTTGTTAGAGATCACATGCCCAATGTCAACCAGATCAGAATAAGAAATGTCATACATCACAGGAGTTTCTTCACCCTGGGGTTTAGCATATAGCTTTTCATCATCACCACTTACATTTCAGAAGAGATTTGTGTCTTTGTTCCGGAGTGCTTGATTTTAAAATAATCAAACAGGAAGAAAGCATAGAAAAAGAAAAAAAAATGGGGGAATACAAAAATAACTTGGTAAGGAAAATTCCAAAATTGGAAGTATGACCATAACAAGAAAAGATAAAATATTCTCACAAATGAAATCTTCATGAGAAAGTAACAGCATTGTAATGTTGAGGGTAAGCATGCTGGTTAATATGCTCTAGAGTGTTAAACAATAGCCTTATATGCCATAAAAAGATGATTTTATACCAATATTCCTCATACACAATTGTTCAAAAGCTAAAAATTTGCAGTGTTTCTTCTAATTACGCTTGGTTAATACATACTGCTTACCATTATTCTTGGAATAAAAATACTTCATGGCATGTGCAGATTCAATTTATATCCCAAGGAAAAGGATATCTCATTTGAAGACAGCTTATCTTTAGGAATAGGTCTGTTGTCAGAGGCTGATGGCATGTATCTTAATGCCCTAACTTGAAATAACCAATCAGAAACTCGATTATTTACAATAATGTCTGGCCAGTAGCTTAGGAGTATTTCTAGCTAGCTCTTATATCCTAAAATAACCCATCCCCACTCTTCTCTGGATCACCATATGGTCATGGTTTACTGGCAAATTTCAGCAGATTCCAGGAAAGGCATCTGTTTTTTGGAGGAGCTTCATGACTTCTCAGTGACTCCTGCTACTTTTTCTAGATATATCTTTCATCCTTTCTTTACTATGCTAAGACTGTGGTTGAGTCAGCTTACTTATTAACAAGAGGTAATAAAATACGTTCACTGAATACATCACCTCCCAAATCACGTTCCCCTTTCTTTCTAAATAAAAGAGAAAGATTTAAATGTAACATACTAAAATTGCATATAAAAACAGTTATCTAGAAGGATCACAGTTACAATATTTATATCTATCTTATATTTTATCATAACTAAGGAAAATAATTATAACTATTTATTCTTCAACTCCATTAGTGTCTCCAAAAGGAGATGATATTATCTAAGTTAACAGGAATTGTGTTGTATGCAACTTCCAAACTCTATAATTAAGAGATCTCACAGCCTGGACAGTCATCTAAAAATTTCTGTAACTTTGCAGGCACCCATATTCATCATATTGGCCCATAGTTTCTGGCAGCCTTTATCAGGAAATTTTAAAGACAGTTCCCACTCTAATGACCATTTGTCAGGCACTTTCTTCCATGTCATGCAGACTGTCTTGCAGAACCTTTCATAAAGCAGGATACTTTAAGGACTGTCTCACTTTCTTTAGGCACTTTTAGAAGGCAATTTTATGTGGGTCCATGCAAATCAATAAGCAGTCCAGGAAAAAGCAGTTTCTTACCCAATAGCTAGCAAACTACATAAAGAGCCTAATTGCAGCCCATCTTCCTCTTGAAGTGCTACCAGGTGCTACCAGGAGTCGATGAGTATGGTCTCATTGTTATGAAAGGGCCTAAGTTTTGAAAACATTTTAAATATGATATTCTGTTAGTCTTTGAGAAGTTTGAATTGTACCTATCCATCTGAAATATATCTCTGTTACTCTAGAAAAGCGAACTAACCAGACTACAAACTTGACTAATATAGGTGACTCTATATTAATCTATCTTTCAATATTATACATTATATTTTAAACTAGCTGCACAATATAATAACTTAATCAACAGCAGAAACATATATATACATAATGTATAACAAAATTGATCTTAAATCTATAGTAATAAACCAAAATCTATACCAATGCATATCTCTTTAGCATATCACTCTTTAAATGTAACCAAATTTTATAAAAATATTTTTGAATTTGCTCATGATTCTTTCCTAACTTATTACTGCTGTTTATTGGACAAAACTAGTTGGAGGAGATTATTTAGACCTTTAAGTGCATCTTTTTCTATTGAATCACATTAGTCTTGAGAAATCTACAGGTTTTCATCCTCTCTAGAAAGGAAGTAGAACCTTTTTTCCAAAACAACATATCTTTACCTAGAACCAAATTTTGAAGTGAAGACACCTTTAAAACATATATTTGGGTTTATATTAGCACCACAATCTATGAAGTGTCTTTTTGTACTTATCTCTTTTACAGTCAAAAATTGAATAAAACACAATAATAGACTTAAACCATTCTCTCTGTGTATTTTCCATCTTACATGGCTTGTTTTTCTTTACTTATTAAATCTATGACAATTTATTGTCTGTCTATTTGAAGACATTGTTTTTTTTAACTAGTTGGTTCTTTTTATATCTGTAACTGTTTTCTGATGAGAAGCTTTTTTAAATGCTAAGTAGGAATGACTAAGACAAACTCTTCCATCTTGCCTGTCAGTTCCTCCCAGTCCTACATGGCTAAGAAATGTGTACTGCCTCTGAGATACTTAATCTCAGAACCAGATCCAGGCTGGGGTCTCACCAGGTCTGTGTTGTCATTAAGCAAGTTGTAGCATTCTGCTCACAAACGCCAGTTAAATGCTTTATAGCCAGAAAACCAGAAAGAATCATAGCTGATCCTGAAACTAGCATGAAACAAAAGCTTTCTTTACAGAGTCTTGAAGATGGTCACCTGTTATAAGAAAGTGTGTGAATATTCAAAACTAATTACAAACTAAGTTTTATATAGGCATGTTCATTAGGAGGATGTATAATTCAGATGTATTGTCATCATTTATATCTCTGACATATAACTCTTATATGCAAATGAAAATATGATGCTCCATATGCTAGGACGTGAAATTTAATTAATTTTCCCCTAGTCTAACAACATCTATTACCTTGATATCACCAGTGAAACTCCTTATTTCTCCCACCAATGCATGAATTGAGAGATTTGGATGTGGCTGCTCTCCTCTTCCTTATTTACATATGCACGTGATGCTTAGATCGCTCAGATTATCTCTAGTTTTTCTATGTAGTTTGGGTTTTATAAATCTTAGACATATTTATTATATTAGTACAGAGAATAACCTTAAGAATACCTACAGCTATACCATAAGCTTGTGTATTCAGATGAGGTGTAAAAATACTACTACCTTCTCTACCTTTAAGATACTCAATCTACAACGGGATTAATATGCTTCTACTTCTTGAATATCTACTTACGTTCTACATAGGTCCTAATTGTAGAAAACTTCAGCTGTTCTTCTCTTGTTTTCTAAAATGGAATAAGGATGTGGTTATTCGTAGGCAGTTCATGGAAAATTGGACAGCATAGAGAAAAGTTGCAATAGATATTTATCTACACAAGGCATAAACTTGACTTCCTCTAGATTGCTTTATGATGAATACCTTCCATGAAATTTCCAGCTGTCCGTAAGCCTGGCCACAATACCACTCTGTCAAATGCTGCCTTTCTTTCAAGGATGTTCCTGCTATGATTCCAAGTAACCCAGATAATGTCTATATCTCATCTCACAACTCATTCCCTTACACATCCAACACCCACATTTGTGACATTCATTGGGACCATCTCTGGTGACACCAACACATACCTAAGGTCTGATATGTGATAATTCAACATTGACTGCTACGTACTGCTATTCTTTTGGGTTTTGGTTATAGGGACAAGCAGCTGAGAAATGGAATATAACCACAGCATGACTAGAAAGGACCTGCTATGTTGAAAGTGTTATTAGCTCTCCTTGCTTCAGACATCGGGATTGTGTGCTTTAAAATTGTTCCTGGAACATGAACCAAAGAGGAAAAGAATGATCTCCATGCCAACAATAGGAACAAATCCCGTGTTAACCGTGGAGATATCCATCAGAGCTGTTGACTCCTTTCTCCCTCCCTTCTCAAGGTGTGGTCCGGCAGAAAATTAAAAGTGAAAATGGATGACAGGAAAAAGTGCAGTTTATCTCTGACCAGAATCCAATTATCAAAGATGAAACCACTGCGAGGTAATTAGGAGTTGATTACATATCACACTTATTGGGTCTGCATCACGCCTATCTTCCTGAAATCAAACGTTTCTTCCTGGGGATGGCTGATGATTATTCTTCGCTGCCAATTAGAGCTTACTGGTATCACATTCAGAAATGCCATGTCATACTCCCTAAAAAAACACTGATTGTCGAATCTGCCAGTTGAAAATTTCAGAATCCGAGATGCCTGAAGCTATTCCCCAATGAAGCAATTATCATGGGGGGGGGGGGGGGTCCTCCAATCGTGCATATGATCGGTACATTCCCAGTTTCTCTCAGGTATTGACGCCCAAACAAAAATTTGATTACAGAAAATGAATAATCAAAGGTTAATCATAAAATCACAGATATTATGGCTGAAACAGTGATTTCGGAGACTGCAAGCAGGAACAGGTGACTCTTAGCGGAAGCAATGGGTAATGTCAGAAATTCTTTGCTTTTACTAGGTATCTATTGCGTCTGTCTCCTGCAGGTCTCTGGAACAGATTTTCTTTCTGGGTTTCTGTATAGCCAATCTCCTGACTAAATTCCAGCTAAACGCTGGGCTTTAGCCAGGAGACTGGCTGGCAAAATCCCTCAGTGCAGACCTTTTTATGTTATCTAGGAACCAATAAGAAGAGAGCTCTCAAACCTGAAAGCACAGGACTGCATTTTACATTGTGATCTCATCCGGAGCTCATGATTCATCTGTGTCTCCCTCCTCCCTGTGTGTTGTAAAAAGAAGCAGAGTCATTTAAAGGGGAAAACAGGATAAAATATAATTTACCCTTTGTTTTGCCTCCAGTTAACAACAGACAAACCTGCCTAATTTAGACTGGTTGCCACAGCAACATTGCAGCTGCTTTTGCCTAGATTCTAGCTGTACACATGAAAACCTCCTTTTGTATCATTGTTTTGTTTTGATTGTGACTTTGCGCTGTCAAGTGCATCTGGCTTCTTATTCTTTGTGATCTGCTTTTTGTCTATTTTTATGTGTATGTTTATGCAATTGAAATATAATTATTTATGTTTTATATACTAAATGAAGATGTAATATATAAATATATGATTACAATGGTTCATGTAGTTGAATTACAATACATAATATATTTAAGTCCATTAGAAGATTGTATAAGGAGAAGGAAGGATTGTAGAAAGAAATATTGATTTCAAGCCCTCTTGAAATTGACCTGACTGAAATAAATTTTCCCACTGTGTCTTAATGATAAAAAAAAATATTCAAATTGTTTCTTTTCTGGAAAAATATTAAATATATATATATATATATGTATATATATATTCTTAACACTTATGTTTGCCTGTTTCCTCTCAAAATTTCATAATTATTATTAAATTTGATCCATAGTTTTCTATCTTTAATGTACACAGAAAATATTTAAGGAAGTTGTATGTCCATTAATTAGAAACCATCTATTAGTACATGAGTGTCCTACATGGCAAGCTATGCTGATAATAATTCTAAATTTCTTTCTCAATTAGCTAAGTACTACAAATAGCTACTCTAATAAGGGTTTTGCTTTACTGTTTTTCCTCTATGCATAGTGCATTTTTGGGCACTGCACATACTTTAAGAATTAAACATTTAGTTACAGTTGTTGGAAATTCATTAGGGTAAAAGTGCTTATATATTAATCATTGAGGGTTTGATGCAGATATGCATCAAACCTTGTGCAATTGAGATAGGTGTCCTCCTGGGTCTGAAACGTGCCATTCTAGCCTAGCTGGCCATGAATATTCACTAAACTTCCTGTTGCCACACTTCTCTAACGTCCTGGGATTGTACAAAACCAAGATTTAGAAAGGCAAATATTCTAAAAATGAATTCTAGGTTTGCAAATTACCAAATGAGCATATTCATGACTGTCTCAGTTTTCAATGTAACCGCAAAAACATACAAATTAAGAGAATGATTATAAATCACAGACCACACAGTTAACCATCTAAAGATCATTGTATTCTACTTACACACAAAATATGAAATGGTCCTCTGTAAATACCAATGTTAAATTATCTTTTCTTAATAGTAGCTAATAATGTCAAAAAGTGGAAAAATGTCAGGTTTATTCTTCTTTAATACTTAAACATAAAATGTAATAAGAGCAATATGGAATTAAAATCAGGCTCTTTGACCAAAAATAGATTTTTAAAAAATACGGTCACATTTACACAATAAAGAACTATTCTGCAGTGAAAACAAAGATATCTTGAAATTTGTTGGCAAATGAATGAAAATATACAATTCCATTCAAAGTGAGGTAACCTAGACCAGAATAATGAGGATGGTTTGTACCTAATCATAGGTGAACAACAACTGTAAAGCATAGAATAGGGAACCTATAGCCCAGGATCACAGAGAAGCTAAGGAATAAGGGGAATATTAAGGGGAAAAAATTGATAACCCTGGGAAGAGGAAAAAGACAAATATCATGAAAAATTGGGAAAATATGGATGCAGTGAAAAGGGAATACAGAAAGTAAGGACAAAGAGAGTAATGAAGAGGAAAGAACTGAAAGTAAAAGAATTGTGTGTTTTGTGGAAGGAATGAGACAGCAAGCATGGAAAATGTTAAATTCATTGAGAGAAACATTATGGGAATAGCTAAACCCTGGAATTGGAGGAATTCACAAGGATGGCCACAACTTAGACCCTAAGTAATAGTTGAACTGATACTTGAACAGTCCTTGCCTTGTTGTCAGATTGATGACTATCATAAATGTCATCATAGAATCTAAATCCAGCAAATTATGGAAGCAGGTGCAGAGATCCACAGTTGATCACATGGCTGAGTTCCTAAAGCCCAATTGAATAATGGGAATTGTAAGAAAACATGCAAGAGATCAAGTTTGTGAAGGGAATACCCACTGAAACAGCTTACCTGAGGTGATGGTAGCCTAGGAACTCGGCCTGACAGTGAGGGAACTAGGATACTAACAATCTAAGCACTCTGAATTTGAGGGAGAGTTGAATGACTGGGACAGACTGTGGGCCCAGGCCCAGTGGGACCAGGATTGATTCATCCTGCATGTTCTGATTTTAGGGAACCCATTCTCTTGAATGCTATCTAGCAAAGTTTAGATATAGTGGGAACATAAAATAAATAAAAAAAAGATGCAACTATGATATGTTCATATGAAATAAAATAATACCTAATGAAATTGCCTGTGTTAGTGATATGTCTTTTTAAGGTACCAGGTAAATCATATATAAACAAGCAACAAAAATACATTAAAAAGCAAAAGAGAGCCTTTACTTATAACATATTGTTATTTAAATGTGATTCAGCTTTTGAATAATTTCAAGTTCGAGACAGAAAAAATATGAGTACTGGAATATTTCCTTTTTACTAGGCTTGGCTTATCTTCTTGGAAACAAAGTCACTGTGTTTTTACTCTTTGAAATTGTATTATTTGCTTATGTCATGTCACAGAATGTGAGTGAAAGCCAACTAAGACAATGAGCATGTTTATTAATCCCATATTGTAATGCAGTTGTAGATCATACCCCAGTCAGTGGTAAGATACTAAGCTTCAGCTGGGCAAGTTTAAATTCCATGTTCATGTGGTTGTTCTTCAGTTTGTAAACATGAGCATGTAGAATGACATCACTTCTGAGCAAGGGAAATATGTAAGAAATAAACATTGATACTATATTCTAAAAATCCATTTAAAATAATAAATACCAACACTATTATGAATAAATTTAACCATAAATTTTACAAGCGTATAACAAAAATCACATGTTATGCCTATAGCAGCATATAATTAAAATGCAAAAGAGAGAGGATATTAATTAATCAAGAACAGGATACAGAATATTCCTTTATATTGTGTGACTATATGATTGATTTAAGAAAGTTTCTGACTGGATATTGTTTAAGGAGGAAATGTGTAGCCTGAAGAAAAGACAGAAAAGTACTTAGTAAAAATGGAGGAGAGTCAGTATCATGAGAAACTCTGGGAAGTGGATGTAACTGATATACTGAGAAAAGGTAGCAATCCACATGGCAGAGTACTTATAAGAAATATAACTAGTTTAAAATGTACATGTTAACTAATAATAATCTCAGCTATTTGCTGAGAAATAATTTGTTTAGAAATAATAATAATTTTCTCTGGGGTTACTTTGGAACTGTCTTGTGGGAAACAAAACTCTGACTACTAATGAAATATTGATGTGGGGAACATAATTAGTATTAAACAAATAAAAATAGATATCTAAAAGTTTCTAAGCAATCAAAATATTGAATCAAACGTGGCTTTTGAATAAGTGTTTTTGTTCAGCTAAGATCAATGCAAATGGAAAACGGTGGAATGGCACTTTAAGAGATGTTTTATGAGCTGGATTCTGGTGACTACCAGGAAAATAACTCTATTAAGCGTTCCTCCATCCAAATACTTTATAATGTTTATTAACAATGGGCTGTATGCTACTCAGTGTAAGAATGGACCCAATAATGTCCCAGCGGTGCAGTGATAATCATGGCTCCCTGAGACCTCAGCCATGAAGCTCATCTCAGAGTGACCCAACTTGCCATGCAACAAGACATGTTATACTCTGTGCAGTGTTAATTTGCAACTAATATTGTAGTTTCACATTTGTCTCATCTAATCAAAGAACAATGCAGATGTTCAGTAGATAAATTTCAGGACAAAATAAAAACTCTAGACAAACTGCTGTGTGTTTATAGATATGCACATGCAAGTCTCTCTGCTGGTCTATTTATGTGTTAGTGATGAATTAAGGAGACAATATTAATGGGTCACTGATAAATGGGATTTATGTAATTGCTTTGTTTTTATTTACTTTTTACTAATTGTACATTATAAATAAAGTTCTTCCACAAATTCTTCTTCCCCTTGCCTGCCTCCCCACAGTCCACCTCATCAATTCCTTCCAAAGAATAGGCCACCCATGGGGAGGCAAAATAACTTGGCATATTAAGCTGAGGCAGTTAAATCCCTACCTTATCAAGAAGAGTTAGACATCCAAACTTATGGAATTTTCTCTAAAAACTAGATCTTGTATCAGAAATGAGTCCTGGTCTCCTTCCAAGGTCTCTCATATACTAAAATATTAAGGGAATTATTTCTTGGCAGCTGCTTCAGTGTTCAAGACAGAGATAGTGTAGCCACAATTTTAAAGAAAAGCAGAGGTTTCAGAGGCAGGGACGGGCATGATGCACAGACCATAACAGGTGACTCCAAACAGTAATACTGGAATATACCAATACCTGACTGCTAATTACCCTGGGTTTTTTGTCATATAGATGTCAAGAGGAGTCTGCCGTGTCTGGGCCAATGTACATTCGGATTTCAGCTATAAAGAGTTGCAGCTGGGAGCTGGCATATTGCCAGAGCCTGAGTAGGAAGGATCCGCTATTTTGACAATATTATAAGATCTTCTTGCCTCTGAATCCTCTGAAGGAGTGTGTGCATTCAATTTTTCCCCGGAACAATTACGAGAATGATCTCAATTCCACCAATAAGAACAAAGCGTGTGGTAACCTTGGAGATCTGCATCAGAGCCTCTGACGCATTTCTCCCCCCCCCCCTTCTCTATGTTTGCTCCGGCAGAAAAATATGAAAGTGAAAGATGATGGCAGGAAATGATTTAGTTTACTTAGGACCAGAATCCCATTATCAAAAGGGAAATCACTATGAGGTAACTAGGATGTGATCACGTATCTGAATTCTTGTGT